AAGATGGCAGCAGCCTCCTTAGCCCAGCAGGGAGCCTGTAGGCTCGGCTGGCTTCCCCTCTCTCTCCATAGGGGTGACAGTCACCAGCTCTGGCTTTCCATGGCTGCTCAGAAAGCAGCCCTCGTTCCTCCAGTGTTCCTGAAAGCAGGAAAGTAGGCAGTGAAATGGAAGCCCCTTCCTCCTAGCCCACACCAGCACTCTCAGTAGGACTGCCCAGAGGCAGAGCTGGTGGTTTGCCCCATGGACAGATCCAGTCCTTAGAGCAGGGCATATGCAGAGCACCTAGGGCAGCCCCTCACCTGAGACCGTGTTCTCCAGAAAAAATGACAAGAAGCCAGTTAAGAAGACAGGGACCATAAGCAGGGAGAGGAAGAGGAGGTCCAGTGGCACCCAGCCTGCAGGGACAGTGCCAGAATCAGCCAGGAGGCCCCAGCCCAGCCAAGGAAAAGGGGCATGAGCATCCATGGCAGAATGGGGCATTGAAGAGACAGCTGCCTGCTGCCATGAGCTGACCCAGCCTCCCAGAACACTGGAGATGTGTGGTCACCATGCCACGGGACTCAAGGCTTTGCCTTGCCTGGGGAATGTCCCTCGTACCTGTGGCCAGGGGAGCCAGAGCCGTGCCGAACCACCGCGGTACCAGCAGTGCCATGAACATGGCAAAGCCAACAATGAAGATGTTCCTCCCTGAGTCAATGTCTGTGTACTGGAAGTAGGAGATCCCCGTGCCCACAGCCACGGCGTAGGTTACACAAAGCACCCCTCCTGCGAGGGGCAGGAGTCAGGAGGTGCCAGGCAGGCTGCAGGTGCTGCAGCAAGGGGCAGGGCGGGGTACCCACCGTGAACTGCCAGTGGGACATGGGTGAGGAGCCCTGCCAGCCTCGGGGACGTGCCCAGCACCATGCACACCAGGGCGCTTACTTGCACTGAGCGGCGAGAGCCAGCCTGGGAAGGAGGAGTGGGAAAGTGAGGATGGATAGCATCACCCCCTGCTCTGTCTCCCGCCCCCTTCTGCTACACACACCTAACCTTTCCCAGAGCTGGCTCGGTGACAGCCTGGCAATTACAAGTCCCACACACCTGCTCGACTGCCTCCCCATCCCTTGCCAACCCGATTCCCCTCCTTTGGCATACCTGCGTGAAGCCAGTGGCACAGGTGTTGGCAATGCTGGAGGCCGTGCCCCCTGCGGTGCCCAGCAGTCCCGCCAGGAGGCTGCCCAGCCCTTCCATGCAAAGCCCCCGGTTGCAGGCGTGAGGGGGCAGCCGGGGCACTCGCAGCAGCCTCCCACACAGCACGTAGCAGCCCACAGAGTTCATGCTACAGCCGACGGCCATGGCCATGCCCACTGCCAGCGCCCGGGGCGTGAGCAGCGGCCACCTCCACGCTCCTGCAGTGGAGGGAAAAGGGACAGTGATAGAAATCCTGTCCAAACGTGGATGCTGCACTCAGCCCTGCTGCCCCCTACCTGCATAGGGGATGTGGATCCAAGGGGCATTGGAAGTGCTGTTGGCCCAGGACAGCTGTGCCATGGTCACATCCAGTGATTCCCAGGGAATGTGGAAGTAGCTGAGGATGGCACAGAGGAGGCAGACACCAGCAAATGGGAGCAGTACCTGCAAAGCAAAAGGGGACCCTAGCAGGGGACCCTCCTCCCCTGCCTGCCCTGGCTAGCACCCCATCCTTGTCCTGTCACATCTCCCAAGGAGTCGTGCCACATCTCCCCTTACCCCTGCAGGAAGCATCCCAAGCTGTTCTGCTCCAACACCCTAGGTCTCCCAATGCTTCCCCAGAAGTATCCATGGGAGCTGCACCAGAGCTCTTCATGCCTGCCTGTGCTCCAGGTCTCACCTAACCCCACACCAAAGAGGCAGGCTTGGAGAGAGAAGCCTGGTGACAGTGAAGAGACAAACCACAGTACCGAGAATGTGCGCAGGGTGGGAACTGAATGCTCTGTGGAGCCCTCCCAAGCATGGGGCCAGGCACAGAAGGGCAGGCGACAGGACCGCAGGTGCTGGGAGAAGGTGACAGCGAGGAGCATGAGCCTAGGAGAGTGAGCACAGGTCACCACACAGCATCACAGTCAGTGATGGGTCCCCAAATGTGCACCGTGCACTGCAGGGGTGCCCCATCCCTGTCCTGCTGGTGAAAGAAAGGCTCAGTAGCTGCCCACCACTGCAGTCCCTGGGCTCACATACAGCAGTGCTACTCCCCAGTTAGTGGAGCAGAAGAAAGCAGCTTCCTTGTACGCAGACAGCCCGATGATGGAGAGGCTGGGGGCCAGGACCATGGGCCCGCAGTGCCGCACTGCCCACCCACACACGCCAGACACTCCCAGTGCCAACTGAATCAGCCCAGAGATCAGCACTGCTCCAGAGACCTGCAGGAGGAAAGGATGGGCCTGTGGGGCAGGATGCACAGAGAGCAGTCCAACACCTTCCCTTGGCCACATTCCCACCACCCCAGCAGCAGGGAACAAGCGCTTGTTTCATGTGTTCTGCTCACCCCAAGCAGAGAAAAACATATATGTGGACATGCATCATGATCCCCATTGCCTTCACAACTCTCTTCATGGCAAATCCCAGGAAAAGAGACTGGGGGTACAGGGATATGGGTGACGAGTGGAAAGCTGATGGAGCAGGATAGGGACCCCCATTTCAGCACAGGAGCACCCACCTCTTGCAGTGAGTCAGCCCAGCTCCCTGTGTCTCTGCAATGAGGTACAAGGCATGTACTGGCCATGGCTGTGCCTGGAAGGGAATTTTGGAAGGATGGGATACACATGGATCCTGGGCTCCGGAGCTGTGCCCAAGAGGGTGCAGTAGGGTGACTGCTGGCTACAGAAGGGAAAGTGTGCCAGCATGTCCATCTCCATAAGCCCTGGCCCTGGGGAAGTGACCAGATACGTTGCAAGTGCACTCAGGAGTGAGTAGGGTGCTGTGCACCATCACCAGAAGGGCCAGCAGGCAGGACCCTTTGCTACCCCTCATCCCTACTCCACCTGCCAGGCACCTCATCATTGCCATCCCCCTGGCACCAGCATGGCCCAGGCCCCAAGGGACACAGGCTCCAGGGCTGTGCTTACCATTCCTGTCTGTGCTGGCACCAGGGGACAGGTGGGAGCTCAGCACCATGGCAGGGACCAAGTACTCAAAGGATGGGATTTGAACCAGTGGCAACCTGAGGAAGGGGACAAGAACGGCACATTAGGAAGGAAGGACAGGGAAGGGAACTGGGTTGCTCCAAGAGCCCAGGCTGCCAGAGGAACAGGGGTGGGAAGGGAAGCAGATAAGAACCCCAGAGTGGCAGGAGGTTACTCCATATTTTACATGTGCCCTAGTACAACCCAAGTGACAGCACATGGAGTGGATACAGAGGTCAGAGGCTTTGCTGAATCCCATACCCAGCCTGTGTGGGCAGCACAGGCATCAGATGGTCTGAAGGAGCTGTGTATGATGTTGGAGCAAGGCAGCGAAGAGCTAGAGGGAAAGTTTTTCTAGAGGTGTGTGTGAGAGGGAGGGAACATCCGTGACAACTGTGCAGAGATGTAGTGCAAAGGTTTTCCTTGTGCCCCTTCCCACTTCCCTTCTCACCTGCTCCCCAGGGTGGTCTGCAGCAGGGTGGAGACGCCGCAGGCAAAGAGGCTTCGTGCCAGCAGCTTGCTGGTGGTCTGGGCATGAGGCGGCTCCTGGGGCAGGGTGGGCAGCAGGAGGAGATGGAAGATGCAGAGCAAGGACGTTTGCACAGCCAGGTGCTGTGCAGGGAAGACATGGAGCAGTCACAACTCCTTGCAGCACCCAGAGCTGCAGCTCCCTATGCCCAGGCCCCCTGAGAGGGTGGATGCCCACTGACACCACCTGGGTAGCACTCACTACTGCCCACACACTGACCAGAGCCCTACACACCCTTTGTCTGGCAGGATGCAGCCCCTGCCCTGCAATGTGAGAGGATCCAGCCCTCTCCTCATCATCCCATCTCTCTGGCTGCTCACCATGGTCCCCCCTTACCTGAAGGGCTAAGCAGCAGCTCATCACCCAGGAGCACACCTTCTGGGAGGAGCACGATGTGAGCAAGGGGCTCCCAGCTCCAGGTGCTCTGCCACGGCCCCCATTCATGCTGCTGCCTTCCCCACACCGCTCCCAATTTTCGGTGCAGAGGGTGGGCTGGCTCCCACCCCTAAGAGCTCCTCCTAAATCCTCACATGGCTGAACTTCCACCTTCTGCAGGAGCTGCCCCAGGGTTAGCCATTAACTTGAGTTGGTTAGTAATCTGCCCTTGTGGCCAGGAATGCAAGTGTCACCCTGGTTTGTCACCATGAGGGCCAGGTGACAGGCAGCCACAAGCAGGCCAACTACCCACAGCCTGGGGCCCATCAGTGCCTGTGGGCAAGCACTGGGAAGGCCACAGCCTTGACACCTCTTCCTCCATGTGCTTACACTACTCCCACCAGCAGCATCCTCCAGCTTCAGTATGCCCTGCTCATGCTTGTTTCACCCCAGTATCTGCAGGGGCATCTGCTGCCCTCGTGGACCAGCCTGGGCTCTAGTGGGGGTCTATTTTACAGGAGAGTACTGAATCCTGCCACTGGACAAGGATGCCAGGGACAGAAGCTGCCTGCTTGGCTGGAAAGGGATGCTCGTGTTTTTGTCACGGGGCAGAGGTGGCTGTGTCAGTGACCTGGTCAAGCCCTTGCTGCTCAAGGCTCACTCATTAACAGGTAAGACTTTGGAGAGCAAAGAGCAGTGAAGAGAACATGCATTCCCTGCATTCCCAAGGATGGGGATCCTCCTCTCCTGTTGTCCCTGCCTGCACCAGACCTGATATCCCTCATGTCAGGAGAGAGACTGCAGGACAGGCCTTGCAGGTCACCTGGGCTCACTGGCAGCACCTAGGATTTGTCGTGCACAGCAGCTCCAGGAGCAGGCACAGCTGCATGGATGTGGCTCCACTCTGGGGCAGACATGCTGCCAGCATGGAGCAGCTCAACAGGATGAGGCAGGCACACAGCAAGAACTACTTTTATTGGAAGAGAGTTGCATCTACAAAAGAGTGAAAAACAGGTGTAAAATCCACAGTAAAAAGAAGGGGCACGATGAGCTGGCCTGGTCAGCAAGACAGGGTGCCTTCTTCCCACTCTGAGGAGCAGTCAGGCACTATTTTCTCACAGACACAGACAGCTGGGGTTTGGGATGGGGTCACAGAGCACCCCAGATTCAAAACATCCAACACAAGCAGGATAAGGAAGTTCAGCCCTAAGCACACTTCATCCCCACCAAGCCCAGCAGGGCACAGCCACATCAGGGTACCTGCTTGGTGTCACTCTTGCAAGTTCCAAGAAGTGCCCTAACATCCCCCAAATGTAAATACTGCTATGACCAGCCAGCTAACTCCCACCTCCTTCAACCTCCTCTCCCCTACCCCAGGCATCTCAGCTTCTCACTGGGGTCACTGCCTTAGCCTCTCCACCCTGCACACACAGTCCCAGCCTCCAACATCCCATATGCCACCTGTGTCCAACACCACTCACTACAGGAAGAGGTCCAATACCCCCTTTGCACAAGCACCCCAGCCCAAAGGTGACCCATATTTACCCTCCAGCTATTGAGTTCCCACCCCAGCAAGCCAGCTCTATGCCAACCTGTCCCAGCAGCCCCAAGTGAAGAATATCCCTGCCCTAGGTGGGGGGACACAAGTGCTGGTTTGAAAGTAATGCAGGGGCCTTCAGCCTCCTGCAGTTCCAGGGATCAGGGGTCCCAGAAGTGTAAGGAAGTGAGTTGTGCCACACTAGAAGGGAAGGGGAACGGGGCTGCTGTTCTATACTCCTAGCTGGGAAAAATGAAGCTCTTGATTCTACTGAGATCCATTGCAGTATGCAAGAAGCACTGCTTCAGCCCCAGGGGGTCCAGCCAGTCCTCACGGTTGGGGGCTGCATCCCACGTGGGGCCTGCAGTGGCTGAGCAAGCATGGCAGTGGAGCACCGGAGGAGCCGGGAGCACGGCGAGTCCAAAAGGGCCAGGCTGGCTGGGGGCTGCAGCAGGGCTGGTACGGTTGGATCTCTCACAGGCAGTGGGCACTTTCCGGAAAGGACCTTGTGGGAGGCGCCTGTGCTGGGCTAGATCAGGTGCCTTTGGGTAGGACAGGGCCGTCATCACGCTGCTCCACAGGTAGAGTGCAGTCGCCGTGACACCTCCACGATGGGGCTCCTTGGTCGTCTCATTCTCCTCCAGGCAACGGGTGCAGCTGGCTGAGGAGACATTGGGCAGCTCGGGCTGGGGTTGGCCAGGGGCTGGGGCTGGCTGGGCATCCAGCTGGCAGCTCCCTTTCTCAGGGAACAGCACAGGCCGGGGGGCTGCAGTGCTGACACTCCTCATGCACACAGACCGGTGCACCACCGTGATGGAGGCGAAGATGGCTGCGAAGCCCGTCAGGTACACCACACCCAGGAGGCAGGCCAGCTAGGGAGAAGACAAATGTTAGCCCAGACATCCCCAGCAGCACCCCCAACAGCCAGGATGCAGCATGGCCACGATCAACCCAGCAACCGTGACAGGAAAAAGCATCACCAGCTCCAAGGCTGGATGCCGAGAGCAGGCAGCCACACTGCTACAGTGAGCAGCACACAGCCTGCCCAAAGCTGGGCCTAAATATCACAGACCAAAATGCCCAGCTAAAAGCTGACAGTTCCTGTTCAAAACCCTAGCTGGTACCCAGTTGCCTCCATGCCACCACAACTTATGGGGCTATGGTCTAGCACAGGGCACTACCCAGCACGGGGCTGCAGTGCCTCAGGCAGTGCAGCTGCAAATCAGCATCTTCTGACAGCTTCCCTTTTCAACAGAGAATAAACCAAGGTGCTGCTTTCAGTGGAAAAGAGAATCCTGCTCCAAATCCACAGCCTGCTGGGTCCCATGTTCGTGCAATTAGCTGCTCTCCTATGCCTTTACCTTCACCACTTGCTGGTAGAACTGGCCCAGCACATGCTGCCACATGGACTGCTCCATGAGGACACACAGATCTGTGTAGGTGAACCAGCCACGCCACATGCCCTGTTTTTCAGCCACACTGCAACGAAAAAAAAAAAGCTTGGAGAAGACCCTGCTTAAGTTCTGTACAAGGAGAGCAGGACTACCTCCAAGAAGGGGCAGAACCAGGCTGCAACACAAGATAAAGGGATGACCCCCACCCTGGACACCTACCGTCCTTCCAGCCAGCTCAGCACTTCAAACAGCTCCCGAGGATCTGTGTAGAGACTCCAGTCCTGCCGGGACAGCAGTTAAAGGTCAGTGCAGTCAGGGCAGGGCACCCAGACACATCTTTATCTATCCCTTCATGGGAGCATGTGGAAGAAAAACAGAAATCCAGACTCCCCTCCACGTCTCTTTTCCCCTGCTCTATGAAACAGTTGGCAGCAGTTACAGTTTCACTTACAATGGCGCTCAGGAAGTTCATCTCCAGTGTGTTCATGGTCTGGACATCCACCTTCCCTGCTGCTCCCCACTCGTCGTTGAACACCTCCTCTTCCTCACCTTCATCATACAGATACTTACTTGCAACCATCTAAAAGTAGCACAAAGGACAGGATTTCAGCCTCCCCTGTACTCACTTCCCGCCAGCCCAGTTACTCCCCTGCCCACTGCTCACCATGGAGATCAGGAAGAGGTCTGAAGAGGAGATCTGCTGGAGGTATTCAGGGTTGCGGTGCCGGAGCCTCTCAATGTAAACCAGTGCCAACATCATGGAGCAGGGCGAGATGCAAGCTTCCCTGTAGGACAGGACAAGAACCAATGCTACAAACATCCCAGGCACCAGGACACAACTTGGCTGCTCCCTCCCCATGCAGACAGTAGGAAGGTTTAGCAAATTGCTAGACAGATCACAGCCTTGCCAGCTCTGTGCCAGTTGTCCTGAGCTGCAGCAACAGAAAGTGCCAGGGATGCAGGGTGGAGAGCAGAAAGCCCTGGTTTCTGTTCCCAGGCACAGCCAGCTCCAAACTGAGCAGCCCTGTCTGCCACAAGGCATGCTGCAAGAGCTCAGCTGCCAAGAGGAGACTCCAGGTTCAAATCTGGCTACCCTGGGAGCTGCAGATCCAGCCAGTACAAACTCCCAGTAACAAGAGCACATATGCACCCCAAAGAGCAGGATAAACTCGAAGCCGGCTGTGTCAGGAAGTCACTGTGCCGGCTGTCCATGCCTCCAGCTTCTCTTTGACACTAATCAGGCCTAGGCACAAAGCCAGTGGCTGGCCCAGGAGACAAAGTGAGTCACAGGTAAGACCAGAGCTCCAAGTTCTGACACAAGACATGAAGGGACAGGTTTTGCTTCTTACCGAGATACATGAGACACATATTTCTTCTGGAGTCTGCGGATAGGACTGGGAGCCACTTTCTGCAGCAACTCCACAGCAATATCTAGGACCGAAAAGCACCAAAAGAGTTAGTCCAGTGTGGTCCAGCCCATGCCCTCCTCTCCCCTTCTCCCTACAAGCCCATCAGGTCTTGGTGTTTGCTCAGCCCTTCAAGTTTAGGTTAAACTATGAGGCCTTATGAGAGGTCAGGAACAAGTGAGGAACAAACATGCAGGGCAGGCAAATCACAGCAGGAAGAGGATGTGAGTGACCAAGGCCCTGCGGCAGTGCAGATCAGCAGGTCTGTGTCACAGGGAACCCCCAGCAGTCAGCTGCAGAGGAACATCCTGCCCTCACCCTGCAGGACCCCAGACAGCCCTTCTGGAGGCCTTCTTGCTGATGTCACAGCACATCTTGATGGTCCTTTGCTCCCCTCCAACCACCAGCATCTTCCCCCTCCAGATCTCCCCAGCATGGCTCCAGCTTACCCTACACCACCCTGGGATGGAGTAGGAGGTATCCATGTGAGCAGGGGCCTGAAGGACTAAAGGTATCAAAGCACTGATACGGTGTAACTGCAGCCCAGCCTGCTTCCCCTGCACTCAGGGACATGCCCCAGCAATCAAGCACAGACACTGATGTATGCTGTGGCTCCAGCAGCTCCCATCTCACTTCCCTACACAACAGGACCAGGTGGAGCATCCCAAGCAGCACTACAGTGTGATGCTAGACAAGAAGTGCTTTAGACAGGAAACTTCAACTCCTTTTTTGTTTCTGAGCCCTTGTCTGACAGAATTGAGAGGAGAGTCTGTCTCAGCAGCCTTGCATTTCCAGCTACCAGGGGCAGCACCACTGCACCCCTCCTTTCTACATCTCTCCAGCAACTAAGAGAATGCCTGTACTGACATGAGTGATTTGCCCAAAGAGCAGCCACCAAGCTCAGAAACCACGGCTCTGAGGAACTTCCCTACACCATCCAGCCCACACCACTCCTGGGACGTGCAGCCAGGCAGACACAGCTCCAGCCACCCACTGGCTGTGCCCAGCCTCTCCCACTGCTGCTCTCTGCCCTTCCAGGCCACCACTGTGCCACCACAGAGGCAGCACCAACATCCCAAGTGATCCCTACAAGCTCGTCCTGATACAAAACCAAATTCTTCAGCCCACAAATCCAACTCACAACAGTGGCCTGTCCTAGAGGGAATGGACAGCAGCTGATGAGTTTCCCATCTCACAGCACAGCACACTGAGTGTGGTTACTGTTCTTCTGTCTCCAAAGGAACAAATTCATATTTCAACTTCTCTCCTCAGACAGGGCCACGCTGCCTTCTGCAACCAGCCTCCAATATCAAAGACATTTTCCTGCTATTCCACTCTCCCAACAAGCCTCTATCTTGTTTGAGAACAGTGCCATAAACTTGCCATGTAGCAATGACAGATATCATAGTCCTGGGTCCCATTTTTTGAAAGCAGCTGGTGAAGGAAGGCTGTAAAAGCAGATCAGCCCATGGACACATTCTCCATGTGCCACTTTTACCCCCAGCTGCTGGAACCACAGCATTTCCTGAATGCAAGGCAAGCCTTAGAGTTAATAGCCCCCAACAGTTTTCCTGCTTGACTGTACCCTTTGAACTTTCATCCATGGAACAGTCCCACCCCGGTGTAATGTCAGCCTTGAGCCTCCCTCACACTGCTTGTGCTGGAATTCGTGACACCCTGCAGTGCCCAGGCAGCTGGCTGCTCAGCCTGGGTCTGCCCTGGCACCACAGGCTCAGCATCCTCCTCCTCACCAAGGCACATCACACACAGCCCCCTGGCAACTTCAGACCATTTCCCCAGCAAGCAGCTCATGGAAATGCTGAGAAATCCACACAGTGAAGGCCCTCTACCAAACCACTGCATGTCCTTTTTTCATTCCTCTCCACCATCTCCTGCACAAGCTCCTCAGCCTTACCGCAGCCTTGTTCTTCTGCCCCCCAAAACACTGCTCAACTGACAGGCACACACACAAAAAAAAAAAAAAAAGAAAAAAAAAAAAAAGAAGTGATTCAGACAAACACAGCAAGAACTTGTCACCTTGGTGCTCACAACTAGAAGTTGAACAAAACCCTGAGTGTTTTGCAGAGCATAAACAATTACCTAAGACAGCTCTCAGCAAGAACAAGCTCACAACCTGCTCTGCCAAGGAATTCACAAGCAATGTAAAGGACTTTATACACCAGGATAACAATGTCAAAAATGCAGTAACAGCCAGACGGGGCAACAAAACAGAGAACAGAAACCATGAGGCTCTGGCATCCTGCCCTGCTGTGTTGTACTGAGCGGGAAAGGCTGGCCAGGGGTGGGATTTGGCGCTGGGGACGAAGCAGGTGACCTACTGGTCTCGGCCCCTTGGGCTACTTCCAACCCCTTTGACTCAGCATTACCATCTGGGGACAACCAGCAACCCACCTGCCACAGGGCTGGAGAGATTATCCAGGCTGCAGTCTTTGTCCCAGCCATAATAGAGCCGCTTCCGCACCCTCTCGCTCAGCTGCTGGTGCCTGGGCAGGAACTGAGGGCAGACAGGAACGTGAGGAAGGCCAGAGCGCTCCTCAGCTCAGCCCGCAGCCCGGCTCAGGGCCGCGCCGGGCCGGGCCGTGCGCCCACACGGGCTCCGCGGGAGCGCCCCGAGGCCTGCTAACAGCGGGACACTCACCGTGAACTCCTGGAACCCACTGAGGGAGAAGGCGCCCTCCTCGTCCAGCAGCAGCTCGTCCAGCTCCATCCTGCCCGCTCGCAGGGCAGGGGCTGACAGATCCCCTCCGGCTCCGAGGCCGAGGCCCGGTGCAGCGTCGGGAGCGGAGCGCTCCGAGCCGCTCCCAGCCGGACCGCCGCCGCCCGCCCTTCCGCCCTTCCTGTTCCGGCGCGGGGGCGCGGCCGGTCCCCGCCCCTGCCGCCGCCGGGCGCACGCGCGGCCGGTG